ATACCTACTGTGAAGCATGGGGGTGGGAACATCATGCTTTGGGGCTGTTTTTCTGCTAAGGGGACAGGACGACTGATCCGTGTTAAGGACAGAATGAATGGGGCCATGTATCGTGAGATTCTGAGCCAAAACCTCCTTCCATCAGTGAGAGCTTTGAAGATGAAACGTGGCTGGGTCTTCCAACACGACAATGATCCCAAACACACCGCCCGGGCAACAAAGGAGTGACTCCGTAAGAAGCATTTGAAAGTCCTGGAGTGGCCTAGCCAGTCTCCAGACCTCAACCCCATAGAAAATCTGTGGAGGGAGTTGAAAGTACGTGTTGCTCGGCGACAGCCCCAAAACATCACTGCTCTCGAGAAGATCTGCATGGAGGAATGGGCCAAAATACAAGCTACTGTGTGTGCAAACCTGGTAAAGACCTTTAGTAATCGTTTGACCTCTGTTATTGCCAACAAAGGTTTTGTTACAAAGTATTGAGTTGAATTTTTGTTCTTGACCAAATACTTATTTTCCACCCTGATTTACAAATAAATTCTTTAAAATTCCTGCCATGTGAATTCATGGATTTTTTTTCACATTCTGTCTCTCACAGTTGAAGTGTACCTATGATGCAAATTACTGACCTCTGTCATCACTTTAAGTGGGAGAACTTGCACAATCGGTGGCTGACTAAATACGTTTTTGCTCCACTGTATATATATATATATATATATATATATATACACATATATATATATATATTTGTACATACATATTTTGTCATAATTTCAGGGCCATAGGTGACAGGTGTTTGGCACATGCAGTAACAAAAGTTCACTGCAGTGACAGGTGAGTGTCACTGAGGTAAGTGTGTGTATGTATGTGTGTGTGTGTGTGTTTTAGAGAGGGGTGGTGTTGAAGGTTCCAGTGCTATATAATTTTCTTCGTTCCTTACCTTATCTGGAACAGAATCCATGACCAGGTCACCATACATGTTCATTATCTGTGCAACAAATACAAATAAAGACTTAGGGTTACTTTGTTAGGGCAGCTGTAGAACACGTTCAACAGGTTCACGCCAACAATGGAGATCCAACTTTCATCCAGGTAAACACTAGAGATACTCGATATTGATTATTTTTAACCCAATATCAGATACACCGGTACTGTTTGACTCTTAACTTCCAGTACAAATGTATGCTGTATCCCCTCATTTTAGGTTCCAAGACCACGTATCTTCTACCACGCATGCTTACATTTTGAACATGTGCTGTGCAAGACGACAACTACTTCAAATCAAGTTAATAATAGGAAAAGTCTATTTCGTCTCCATCAGCAGCTGAAAACGACGCCAAGATCTGAGTATTAGTAATGTATTTCTTTTCTCTATATTGCAGCAATGATGATTAAATAAATATCTTCAGAAATACTGTTTTTTTAGTGTTTGTTAGCTGGTTAGCTACAGGTGGCTACGTGCTGTGAGGACAGCGTACGTTCACCACACAGGTCAAATTTCTACTTCACAAGTTGTGCCATATAAAGTAAAACATCTCAAAACAACACGTATTTGGTCTTCAGAGAAACTCAGATAAGTGTTGAAAGTTAGTATCTTGTTCGCATCCATTAAATCTGTTTTCTCGCTTGGAATGCTCCGGCCTTCCTCCTTACTTTTGAAATCTCTAAAACCTTACCTCAGATCTGTTAGAATTTGGCATTTTGAGAAAGAGGAGAAGTAGCTGAAGAGTTTGGTGCATTTCACGTGAGTGCTGTGTGAAAGTTGTGTCGTTAAAAGTCTGAAAACCGATAAAAATATTTCCCATTTAAAATTGTAACACTGGCATCGACGGTAGATCGATAGTATCGGACATCTCTAGTGATCACAGAAGAAATATCCATCATCCATCAAGGAAAACCATAAAAGCCCACAGCCACCTTTAAAGTAAAACTTTATCACCAGAGCATCTGAAATAGTGGAAGATCCCAAACCATTCCAGATCTATATGGACTAGATTTACATCAATGTCTACCTGAGGGGGGGAGGGTGTGTGTGTGTCAGGGGTGGGGAAGTTGGCTGAAGTTACAGAATGTGGACACACGCACACACACACCGTACCATAACGAAGGGCAACAGAAGACAGCTGGTCTTAAGGAGCGAACGTTGACGAGTGTGTTTCAGAAGGATCACAAACACCAACTGGACAACAAAACAATCAGTGAAAGGAAACACACTCAACATGCTGATAAAGGTCAAAAAGCTCCCCGATTTATTACAGCGTGTGGGTGACGTTCATTCTTTTACGTCTTTAGGTTGGGTGTGTGTGTGTGTGCACGAGACTGGGAGTGTGTGATTTTTTATGTGTGTGTCTATCAGGTCAGGTCTTGGACCTGATAGACACACACAGCGATAATGGAAAGATGTATCTAAGGCCCTGTCCACACGTAGCCGGGGATCTGCCAAAACGTGGATATTTTTCACATGAAAACGGAGTTTTTTCACACGAAAACGGATCTTTTTGAAAACTCCGGCCAAAGTGAAGATCTGCGTTTTCTCCGTTTTGGGTGTCTGCGTGTGGACGGACAAAACCGGAGTTTTAAGGTCCGCAACGTCACTTTCCGCGACAAAAAACGCTGACATCACGTGTGCGACCTGTGTTTACACTAGCCGACAGCATGGATGCCCTCAGAGCTGCGCTCGCTTTATCAATTGTCCAAGCGCTTTTTGCTTGTTTGGTTTTGCAAGTGGAATTGCTGCTCCTTGCGGAAGAACACAGACGAAGGACGAGGTTAAGAACGGGGGAAGTACTGCCGCCTACAGGTCTGGCATGTCCTTAACAACGTATTTATCCGGGTACGCGTGGACAGAGTTCGTTTTAAAACGCGGTGGTGTGGATGCAAGTTTGTGGAGGGGCGGATATTCGTTTTTAAAAAACCCGGCTACATGTGGACTAGGCCTCAGTTAAAGGTGTCTATTTATAGAGTAGACCCCCCCCCCCCCCCCCCCCGAAAGTCTCAGACTTTCGTCTCCTGTTCCGACTGTGGGAACGCCATCTTTTCTCTTAAGATCTTCATCTTCCTCACATATTGGAGCGAGCCGCTGTTTCTCAGGATTAATCCCAGTCGGCTCCTTCTTGTGATGCATTTTTGTGTATTTTCTGACACCCACCCCTTTTTGATATGAACACACACAGAGACTAAAGAAGGAAGTGAGTGAACATCAGAAGCACCGCAGTAGGACCCATAACTGGGTTTTATGGTACCAGTTTGTGTTGCTGTACCTGGTCGTTCAGCCAGTTCTGTCCGTACAGAGTACCCAGGTCATCCATGGTCAAAACGTGGCGCTTGTAATTGACTCTGAACGTTTTGGCTACAGCTGATCCTGATAAACGCTGAAAGGACTGGATCAGTTGTTGGATTGTTGCTTTTCTGAGAAAGAAAAAAACACAGTCATGCTTTAGCTGAGCGCGCGCACACACACACACACACGTGCACACATACATACCTGTGTGGCTGTGAGAAGTTCTCAGTGAAGACCTCCTGAAGCTGCTCTATGACATCATCAACATGGATGGGGATCAAGCTGCCGTACCGCTGCAGAGACTCTTCAAGAATCCCTAAAGAACAAAAACAATGAGCCTGAAGATCTGAGAGCAGGAGCTCACAGCGGGGTCCGTACCAGACACACAGCTGGTGTGCTCCTCGCTAAGGGCCACCTCCACCGGTTTCGCGTTCACCTCCCGTCTCAGCCTGTCCTCGTGCTTGTCTGAAAACGGGCCGTTGATCTTCTTATCTACCAGACAGAACAAAATTGCGAATCTGAAACAAACTTCTTTCAGTCTCAAAGCAGCAAGTTGATGCAAACATGCGTATCTGACGTGTGGAGCGTTGTTCTATTAGTAAACCAAAGAAGAAGAAAGACGTGTGTCAGAGCACCCAGAGTACAGGAGGAGTTATGTTTTCAGTGCTTCTCCTGGATGTTAAAGCACGGTCCCTCTAAATCAGGGGTACTCAGTTCCAGTCCTGGAGGGTCGGCATCAGCACGTTTTAGGGGTTTCTCTGCTCCAGCATGCTCGATGTTTGAATCACCTGTGCAGCAGCTCATCAGGCTCTGCAGAAGCCTGTTAAGCTGGGCGGACACTGTGTGACTTTTTCACTCGTAGCATTCAGCTTCAGCTCAAACTGTTCGACTTCCTCGCAGGGCAGACCTCACGAGTCATGTGCTCACACTGCACGTCTGGTAGCAACACGTCAGACATAAAAATATACTAAAAATAGCAGTTTTTACTCAACACGTCAGACTTTTTGGTCTTGCCTGTTGTCCTTCGGGAGTGCTGCAGGAGGACACACAGGGATTTATGGGGGTTGGATGAGGAAAACGAAATAAAGAAAGTAAATCTGTGTTTTGTGATCAGTTTGACATGAACACGACAAACACGCTTTCTTGACAATCTTTGTGAGTAAAAAAACGTGCAGAAACAAAAACGAACAACGTGTGTTATTAGGGAAATAGCGGGCGAGCGGTGTTGATGCAGGATTGCGCATGCGCCGTGAGCGGTTCTGATACTTTTTGGGTCGCAGCTGCTCGCAGCGCCGCTAAAACAGTGCGATACCCTCACGAGGGACGAGCGAAATTTCAAACACGCCAGAAGTCCGTGCGAGCTCACGATTGCTGATCGGTAGCTGGTCACATGGTGTTAATCGCCTCTCGTAACCCCCTGTACACTACACGACGCTCGGCGCAAAACTCGCCCCGATCTCGTGGATTCTCGCACGAGCGGAAAATCGGCTCAAAAAAGTGAAAAAGCCGCACAGTGTACGCCCGGCTTTAATCACCTGCTGATGGAAACCAGGTGTGTTGAAGCAGAGTTAAAGCTAAAACATGCTGGGTAGAAGCTCAGGTGCTCCAAGAAGAAAACATCGTAAAGAAACCTTTTTGTAGAGCGTTGGGTTAGGCTTCAGACAGAACCGTTGGTTCTTCAGCAGTTACTGCTGAACACGTTATGGGAACTTTCTGAGAAATAATGAACCTGGAAGCTAATTGGTTTGTTTGTGTTAACACCTGCTCAGGTGTAGGGTTGTCACGGTAACCGGTGTAGCGGTAAACCCCGGTAAAAAAGTTGACAACAATAATAACCGTCTTGTTTTTTAAAACATATATAATCTCGGTGGGTTACCGTGGCTGCGGTGTAGGCGCGGTGACCCTTACCAGCCACCGTATCATCTGCTGAAGTTGCCGGCGGCACATGCGCACTTTGTTGTTTACAACCAAAACTTTCTTGAAGCTAAAGCTGAAATAATGGCCAAAGGAGGAGACGGCAGCGCTCAGGACATTTATTATCCCTCAAAGAAGACAAAGTGGGAAGTACGGGCATCTTTTGGATATTTGAAGAATGCCGAGGGACAGCTGATAGAAGACGACTATCCTGTTTGCAGCACGTGCAGAAAAAGTGTCTGTGAAAGGCAGCAACGCTTCAAATCTCATGACACATCTGCGTGACCACCACCCACAACTCTACAGTCAACGCAAGGCAAGCTAACGTTAGCGTTTTAGCTAAAATGCGTGATCCGAGGATTTGGGTTGAGGGAGAATACAACGAGTCGCTATATAAAGCAGCCGCAGCGCCGCTACCTGCATATAAACCGTGTCGCGGACACCGCCATGTTGAAATGACGCTATGCATTACGGGGCTCCCAGGGGCAGATAAGAGTTGGTCTCTCTCCGAGAATAATTATGAATTTAACAACGATTACTGCCTGATGACATTTTCCCACATCTGCAAAGCTCACTGGAAGGACACAAACCGAGGATGATATTTTCCTGACATACAGGGATTATTACTCAAGTAAGGGTAAAAAAGTATCTGATTAGAAGGCTACTTGAGTACTGAGTATCATCTGATCTAATATTTTTAAATGATGACATCAAACAGACATAAAATAAGAAGTTATGGGCAAATATTGGTATTTTAAAGACTAAAGGGAAAAAATGTAAACAAATAAACAACATAATTACAAAATAACACATTTTAGGCAAAATTTAGACACAAACTGAGGACAATATTTTCCTGATATACAGGGTTTATGTAGTTTGCTGAAAATTTAACAATACCGCGATAATACTGAAAACCGTGATAATTTTGGTCACAATAACCGTGAGGTTAAATTTTCACACCGTGACAACCCTACTCAGGTGTAGTGTTAGAGACGTGTGTGTGTGTGTGTGTGTGTACCTCTGTAACACAAAGCAAAATGTTCCTTGGGGCTGTCGCACTCTCCATCACTGTAGCGTGACCTTTTTATCCTTCTTTGCTTGCCGTACTTTTGCCCTTTCCGACTCCACTGCCGCCCCACTAAGCATATCCATCGAGCCTTTAGGCGCCAGCTCTTCCAGTGCTGGGCCAGTTGAGAAGCAGCGGCGCTGTGGGATCGCAGGCGTCTCAGATGTCTGAGCCTCTTCAGAGCCCTGTACCTGCTGAAGTTGGACCGGAACAAGTCTCTGTCTTCAGCCTGGGACACAGTACGCTCCTCAGAGGTTGGACCGGGTTTCTCCACCTTCTGTTGTGGTCCATGATGTTGGTGCTGCTGTGTTTGATGGTGTTCAGTGGATTGGGAGGGAAAATCTGGGACGTCCCACACCACTTTCTCCTTGTCCTCACCCTTTCTGTGCTCCTCCTCCTCCTCCTCCTCCTCTCCATTGTTTTCCCAACCCTTGGTCTCAAAACCTCCCAGATCACCCAAATACCGATTGTTCACATCTTCTTCGTCATCAATCGCCTCTATCCCACCTGTGCCATCCTCTTCCTCCTCCTCTACATACTCGCCTGTCCAGAGTTTTTCTTTCTGCCCGAGCCGGAGGTGCATGGGGCTGGAGACGCTGTGACCCGACACTGGAACTATGAGGTGGTCTCCAGGAATCCCACCTGAACAAAAGCATGGGCACCGGGTTAGTTCAAATGAGCGGTAATGACACCAAAATCAGCGTACAGGACTGGATCCATGTTTGGTTTATCAATGCTCAGCTCTGAGGTCAGTACGTCATACAGAGCAGACAGACACACCCACACACTGTGAATGTCATTATAAAGAGTGAAAAACAAGCAGAAAAACTCACTTCCATTACTCCATCTCTACATTTTAACACAAGAGTCTGAGTTTTATAATCTGATCTCATCCTATTTGTCCAATCCTGTAATTCTGTTCTGATTCCTACGGGTGGATTTTAGAAGTTGGGTCAGAAGTAGGAAACTACACAGATATGATGGAGCTGGCAAGACGAAGCCCTCGTGTAAACACAAATCCCCGTTCCCACCTCCTCCAGTGCCGTCCTGTCCCACAGCAGTCAGGCCCAGGTCTCCCTGCCAGCGGTTCTGGGCCAGGCTGCTGCCACTGTCTCGCATTGTCCACGGACAACCCACGACCTGCGCCAGCTCGTCACCTGCAAAAAAACAAAAACGTGAGTTCACCTTTGAATAAAATGAAGAAAACTACGTTTATGATTTGTGAATCATCTGCAAAATCCCTGACTATTCACAGGGTATCTGCAGGTTTAAGGGAGCCAAATTTAAGACTTTTTAAGACATTTTTAAGGCCACTTTGACGAAATTAAAGCTATTTATAAAATTTAATTTAAGCTATAATTTCCAGCTATTGCCTGGAACCGGTGCTAACCATGTCGCAAACGTGGGATTAGCCATCCAGTTACCATTAAACTTGCACTTCCCTGTGGCGCAAGCTCCTACTAGCTTAACCAGCTAATGTGCTCATCTAAAAATAGCCCCCTTTCACAACCAACTGAATGTGTACGGTTCCGCTTACGCCAACATCACACACAAAAAATCCTGAACACTAACTAGAAATTCACGAAATTTTTATTGAAATAAAAGAATCTTGTTTAGTGGGCCTTTGGTAATTTAAGACATTTGGAAACTGTATTTAAGGATTATTTGTCATTTTGAAGGATTTTTAAGGCCTTAAATTTGGAAAAGCAAATTTAAGACTTTTTAAGGACCCGCCGACACCCTGTATTTAGGAAGTGAAGAAGAACGTGTGCTGATTATAGTTCATCAGTCTGGATTTCTGAAGTAAAAAAAAAACAACATTAAATTAAAAAGGAAATTTTTGACATTTTGAAATATTTGATTATGGGCCACACTACTTGGTCAGATGTACATTTCAGAGCCAGCCCTTGCTGTGAGAGAATAACCGTGCGGTTTAAAGCTGCTGCTTTAGTGAACAACCTAGAGTTTGATCACAAACACTCACCCGTCCCCTCAGGTATCTTCCCTGAGACACTTCTGCTGGAACCACAAACCTGCTGTGACGTCCAAAAGGGTCAATTTTCACCCATATATTGATCAACATAGAGACAGAAGGCCTCACATTCTGAACTCATCATAGGTGATAAGGCCTGGTTCTACAACTTTTCTCCTAAGTCCGGTCAGACAAAAGTCACCTCTGGTAAACTGGCTAAGAAACTTTAAGTGGTCAGGTCCATTCCTGATCACCGAAAAACTCTCTGCGGTCATGTATCAGATCAAGATTACCTCAAGTAACAAAGATCCCGTCTATAAGTGGGTCCACAGAAACCAAATCAAACCTCACAAGTGTTCCACAACCTTTGATGACAACACCACCCATAAATCTGGTAACCCAACTCGAATCGCACCGGGGGGTGGGGGTGGGGGGGGGGGGGGGGGATTTTCCATCAGACGCCATCTATGTGGGTCTACTAGGGATGCAAGCAATTAATCGATTATCATTTAATTGTCGAAAAGAAATTACTCTATTAAAATAAATTAATTTCAATTAATTGCGTTTCAAACATGTAATTCCCCGCCAGTCCACGTGGGGGCGCGCTTGACGCCAGACGTACTTGACGCACATGCGGGAACACAAGCGATGAGAGAGGAAGGCTCCGACGACGACAACAACAGAGGAGAAAGAGTACGCAGAGGATGAGGAGGACAAAACGGAGTGCAGTATGGAGCCACTTCACGTTGGTCAATGACAACGATGCCAGATGCACAATATGTGGAAGTATTCTGAAGTACAACAAATCTACAACTTCGTTGAACTACCACCTAAGTACGTCACATTCAGCCGTGCTACAAACTGCGAGTGGCACTCAGCCTACAATCGCCATGGCATTGGGAAGAAGGGTATGTGACTCCACAAAAGCAGAGGGCATTACCCTGCGAATATGTAACACGGTTACTACAGACATGCTGCCGATAAATATCGTTGAAGGACAGGGATTTCATGAACTGATAAAATACGTTGAGCCAGGGTACAATATCCCTTCCAGAACAACTATAACCACTCGCTTGGAAGCAAGTTACGCAAAGAAGAAGTGGCAACTGCGAATGTGGCCCTCACGACAGGCTGTTAGACTTCCTTGACTACGGAAAGCTACATCACAGTGACATGCCACTACAGTGAACCGGACTGGCGGGTAAAGTCAGCACAGAGAGTATAACGGTGAGGCATACGGCAGACAATTTAGCCGACCAGCAAAACCAGGCTGTGGAAACATGGGGACTGACGGGGCGTGTAGTCGCTTGTGTGCACGACAATGCACGGAATATCATCTCAGCAAACAGTCCCACACGAGTCAACTGGCACTCAGTTCCATGTTTCGCCCACACGCTGCAGTTGGCCATTAACGACGGATTCGCCACCTACATTAACGAGAGGGTGCTCGCTGCAGAACTACAAAGGCGGAGCTGCACCATAAGGTGGAGCTGCACCAGAGTCAACCCCGCCCATTCACGCAAACTCAGCCTAGCCCACTGACTTCCGTTTTTGTTTTCAACTTTATCGCAAACTGACCTGACCCACATGAATTACGGCTGTTACTAGTTTACAGTCGTTAATGCTATGTTCTGTGCTCCAATTAAACAAGATAAATATAACTTGCTACATGACAAAGTCTGAATATATCCCGAAATAAAAAGGTTTCTCGTAGCGAATATCTGCCCACAACCGCTCTAACAAAAGTCCTGTACAACAGCATGTACCCCCTCCCTGTGGGTTCTGGTAGTCCAGTGGCAAGATCGTCTGACTTACGTTTTGCTTTCCCCTCAGCTGATGCTGGTTCGATTCTCGGTGGGGTCGGCAACAATCTATTCAGCCAGCTGAAACATTTAATTTGTTCATATTTTAGTTGTAATGTTCATTTTCAGCAAAATATTTATGTCTCTACAAGTTCTTTGAATTTGGTCGTTCCTAAACAGCATTTTAGTTGAAACTCTGCTCACAGATGGACTCACACTGGCTAAATAAACGAATGAATAAATTAAAAAAACACATTAGTCATTATATGTTAAACGGCATACCAATAAATTGTTGTAAACATAGTACTGGCAAGTGTAGCTAGAAATGAGGAAAAGAGATTATAGAATATTTCCACTGCTGGGAGGCGAACCTGCGCAAAACTGCATGTCAACCTGACACCATCACCACTACACCACCACATCGGATAAAAATTAGGTGGCGTTACATTTTATTATGTTATTTGGTGTGTCTTTGTAGATGGGATGTATGATTTTTCTGGCGGTGTCTCAGTAGAAGTCATTTCAGAAATAATTTGTCAGAAAATTCACAGAATATCCAGATTTGAGAACCAAGACCAGACCCGCTTTGGGGGAGGAGACCAAATTGAAGCTGAGATGGGAAGAAAATGCATGAATGAGGCCAAAAATGGCTTTGGCGTGTTTCTTATGAGCAAATGACAATATAACATGATTAAAAGTTCCAAAAGTTAGATTTTTAATTATATGGAACCTTTACAAAAACTGTTCAATTCACTTCTCAACTCCCTCCTCAATCTTGCATTTTTTAGCTATAACACCCTCTTTGGTTCCAGAATGCTATAAAGTCTGACAACTGGAAGGAATTGGACTGACTCCGATAGAATGGGCGGGGCTGATTCTGGAATGGGCGGGGCTGACTCTGGTGCAGCTCCGCCTTTGTGGTTCTGCAGCGAGCACCACTTGACATTAACCGAGTCATTATAGCTGCTAGCAGACTCGTGCAACACTTCAATCATAGTAGCCCAGCAAACATAGCGCTCAAAGCTAAACAACAACAAATGCAGCTGCCGTCTCATAAACTCATCCAATCCTGCAAAACCAGGTGGAATTCAGTCAGTGAAATGTTTAACAGACCAACGGAGCAGAGGTGGGCCGTGTCTGCTGTACTGTCTGGCCGCACAGCAACCAAACTCTCAGATGCGAGGACGCTGGAATTGAGAGATGAATACTGGCAGTTGATGGAGGATGTGGCGCCAGTGCTGGAAACGCTCAAGTGTGCAACGACCGTCATGTCTACTGAGACTGAGGTGTCCGTATCAGACACGCATCCCATCACCTTCAGCCTGATCAACGTGCATCTCAAGACAGACGAGGAAGACACCAGCAAAGTGGGGGAATTCAAATCCAGAGTGTGCACTTCACTGAGTGAAAGGATGAAGGTAAGTTAAAAGTTAAATTTAATGATTGCAGATATTTTTTAACTGTATGCATTGCACACAAAGCACATTGTTTGACAATGGTAGTTTTTAACTCCAATCTGATCTAATAATTAAGATCAGGCAATAAATAAACACATAATCAATTTAAAAAAATTTAAAACACATTTAGGCAAGGCATATAGCACACTTACAGCACAATAACAGCAGTTATTCAAGGTGCTTTAAATTATTAAATTTGCAGAAAAGAAAAACAATTTGACAGCAATATAAAAACGGCAGACAAGGCAAAGAAAAAAGTACGATATTAGCTTGTTGCAGCAAGTTGAAAAGAAACTAAATGATGAATGATGTCCTATGACATAATTCAAAAGCAATTCTAAAAAGTTGAGTTTTGATTTAAGACTGCTCAGTGTTTCAGCAGCTTTACAATCTTCAGGGAGTGAAGAGGAACTTTAGATATAATTATTTTTTTTTCTTCACAGATTGCTTCTGATGACGTGATGTCAACACCACCAATGATAGCAACCATGCTGGATCCTAGGCACAAGCACCTGGGATTTCTGACCCCACCAAGGAGGGTTACAGCTCATGCCAAACTGCTTGAAGTTGTGACTGAGACTGAAGCAGAAGCCGAATGCAAGAGCTCCACGTCAGCAGATGCGACTGGAGGCCAGCAGGAGTTGGTCGGGGGCCGGGCGGTGCCAGTCCAGGCATGTGGACTTCAGAGACGCAGTGCGTATGCTTTGCTCATGGGTGAAAACTATACCACCAGGAGCACCGATGATGTAGAAAATGAGGTGGACAGCTTTCTGAAGGATCCGCCACCACTCGATTCCAGTCCCACAACATGGTGGAAAGTCAATGAAGGAAGGTTTCCAAGGCTGGCAAACCTGGCACGAAAGTACTTGGCCATACCAGGCACATCAATCCCTTCTGAGAGAGTATTCTCAGCAGCTGGCCTAACT